AATGCATCATATAGAAACGCTAGATGACAGTCATCAGAATTTTCAAAAAATGGATGCCTGTTTATACAGTTTCCGCGACCCTTTTTATTGATTGTCTAGGAGTGGGAGATGAAAAAAGTAAAATTTTCAGCAAAGTCGAAAATATCCAGAATGTTGATTCTTATGCAGCCGAGACGCAGCGCAATAACATCGTGATTGGAAGAGTGAGTCTTGTTAACTTTATTAAGGAGGGTCAATTAGCGGACCTCTTCACATCCAACGGCAATGCTCGCCTCACTACGATGTGAGAAAATAGCGACATAGGCCTTATTTCGTCTCTAGCAGATTTACTACGAACATTGCCCAGAAAAAGCTTGTTTGTGAGCTTGGTAATCCAAATTGTTGGACTTTTCCTCTATATTCGACTGTTTAGCAAAAATTGAAACACGGCGAAGAATGAGAGCTCCCCGTTGAATTAAGAGGGGAAAGGAAAGGCAATGTGTAGGATTCGGAATATGTCAATTAAAGAAACCCGACTCCAAAAAGGACCACTCCAAATGCACGAAACAAAAATCAAGATTTCTTGGTTATTACTTGGACCATCATTTTCGACGCAGCAATTTGAGATTAGCGCGCAAGAAAAGATCTGTTGTATCGTCACAGTGACATGCTCTTGTTTTTGGCTTATGTTTTCAAAATTACTTTTTGTAAAGCAAGTTATATTGTGACCATTGGCTGAGGTAAAAAAGCTTTTTTACAAAACTCCGCAAATACGTTCAAAACGTTCGCATAAGTCAATAATGTTTGGTAACGATTTTGAGTAGTCAACCAAGCAAAGTTAAAAATAAAAGAGTGGGAAACCGATAGAAGATCGCCATCAGTCAGAAAAGACTTTTCAGACTAGACGGAGAAACTTTCCAAAGTCTATTTAGCCAAGTTTATTCTTTCTGATTTGCGCCGGAAGACAGTAAGTTGCAAATTGTTCGTACCAGGCCCTGAGGTAGCAATAGATGGATATGAATCTTCAGAAGATGAGATTTTTCGGCATCTATCTTAACATGTAGAACAATGAATAGAAGAATACCATGGGAATCTTTTCTAAGGCGAAAAACTGAGAAAATCAAAAAGGCGAAGTGCTTGAAAAATTTTGCGAGAGCGTTTCATACGAGTTTACCTTGAAAGAATGATTGATCGAGCGTGGGTGAGCGGCTCGGTGGTGCAATCACCTAGATTGGAGTGCGAACATTATGATGATGCTGGTAAAAATTGCAGAGAGAACAAGGTCGATGACGTCATAGGTGAAGCGCAGTATTCATGAAGATATAAAGGCTACCATGTTCCAAAACTGCTTCAGCGAAATTGGTAGGCTCAAAAAAGGAAGAGGATATATGAAACGATGAATATACAAATACGAAAAAAAATTGCGAATAGTCGATTTTATTGGCAAATTCAAGTTTTGCAATGGCCAAAGTTGCCACCTTGCCATAGCGACATTGTGAAAGTGATGATGGACCGCCTCGTTTGGCCCTACAAAGGTCATTCGCCGGTAAACCTACCTGTTCACGTAGGCGGGTAATAATAGACTATGAATATTTTTGCTATATGTGGAGAATTTGCAGACAATTCTGGGCTTGTTCGTTGTGTAAATCATATGAAATTATTCTTCAAGCCATTATAATAATTTCGCATGCCTAGCACTAACTAGAAAAAGACGGTTCAGTAGACGACAACTCAAGAAAGATGACGAAATTGTTTTAAAGAGTTTTGCAAAATCAGCTGTAATACGAATTGCGCTGTAACCCAGGGCTCAGCAGAGGTGGCGCTTTCACACGCTGGTTTCCTTTAGGGGCAAGCAGAGGGGAACCCGTAAAGTTTCCACCCGAAAACCTGACAAAATCTTAGAAAACACAACTGTAACAACTCTAATTCTTACAAGGGAAGGATACCACCATTAGTTGGCAATTGAAGATGGGATGTATACCATTCGATGCCCTTTGAACGCTGATTCCAAATCTGCTTTCCTTTTTTGCGGAATAAGTTTCCGGAAGAAGTTATGAGCGTTTGAATGCCCAGATTTGCCAAGCATTGAGTGGCTTCAAATCAGCGAAAAGCTCTTAAACAACATCTATGCGATTTCCACCGGCCTTGTTCCTTCGTTGCAAACAATTACTTGATACAAAAACGATTTCCCACTTTCCGGTGTTTTTGTACAGCTTTTCGCTAATTTTAGGCCGCCTAAACTTTGACAAATTTGGGCATTTGAATACCCACAACTTCTTTCGGAAACTTATTCCGCAAAAAGAAAAGCAGATTTGGAATCAGCGTTCAAAGGCGCGTCCACTGATATACATATCATCTTCAATCACCGACTAATGTTGGTATCCTTTTCTTGTTAGCACAGACCGAATTGAAAGATCTGAAATATTTTAATATTCAGGTAACCATGTTACAAACACGATAGTTCACAAACCTGTGTTCGCACGATTTCTATCGTGTTAAAACATGACTTTTGTGGAGAAAAAGATAAATAATCTATTTTGTTTGTTTACAACGAATAAGCAATACTGAGCCATCAAATTTGGTGTATAGCTTCGAGACGATGAGGAAAAGACAAGCATGAAAAATTATGAAAAAATTATGTGAATGAAAGAAATTGTAAGTGTTTTTCGATTTTAGGTTGCTCCCGCGCAACCTGGGAGCATCCTGAGGTTGCGCGGAACCACAAAATCATGATTTTTTACAATTCTTCCCCATCCTCACATAACCTTTCAGATTTTTAAACATAAATCTATTCCTTAGACCAAGTTATATCTACGAGTGCTCATACTGACCCAAGTTTCGTCCTCTACGCTTTGTAACGGCTCTTGACGGCATAAAAACCACTTTTTTCGCATTTCGCTTTTTAATGTTTGACTTACTCTTTTCTTCACTTCAATTCGCTTTTTGTTGCATATTCTTAGAGCTTCTATAGACACTACAAAAGGTATCTCGTAGATTTCTGCAATGTCAGGGAGGACTTCGTTCGAATTTTGCATATGCCACCTGGTGCTGGGCCCTGCTGTAACCTAATTGTCAAAAAAAGGAAAAGAAGAAAGCGATACATGTGAACAGTACTAAAATACCTCAAATCTGGTCAAAAATTTTTTTGAGAGTTTATTCTGAATTTGCATGAACTACTCATATAAATGCATAATCACATTATAAGCTGTCATTTGATGCCTCCCTGCATTATTCATCTTCTATTTCTCTACTCCTCCAATAAGTTTCCACTGATATATTTGTTTTTACAGGCTATTCACATCCCCCAACTCCGGCCATACAAAGGGAGAAGAAAGAAGAGATAGTTTTTTGATTATTGGATTTTCTAAACATTAAATATGGCCTCCGCACTACTTAAGATATCCAGAAGAAGCCCGTAGTCTATCCAATTTCCGTACGGATTTAGGATTGAAAAGGAAATTAAATTTCGGTTTCAAATTTCTTCGTGATATAAAAAAAAAGTACTATCTTACAGATCATAAAATGAAGAGAACACTCATTCCACGAAATAAACCTCACTTATTGTTAGAAGAATTGATAGCGATTTTAGTCGCAACAGAATCATGTTGATCTTGAACTATCAGTGTGCCTATTCTTGAAATGTTTGAGTAAGGAGAAACTAGACACTCACATTTAAGGACACGGGTTAAGACAAAAGGGGTTTTTAAGGAGGCCATTTGTTCGCGTTTTCACTGGAATAAATAGATTTGAATAATGAATAAGTATATTTGAATAATGATTAAGTACTGAAAGCAATCGCCACGAGAAATGGTCAAATTACATAGTCTGCAAACACCAGCCAGGCAACACCTACGCTATATCGCAAGGTCTGCATGGATATTGCTAAGAGATTTATTTCGACAGCTTCACCAACTTTTTTCTCTTGAGCTGAATAAAAAAATGCTTTCTGGCATTCAACACTTCACGAGAAATTGGAAAGATGTGAATGAGAAGGCTAGAATGGGTTTTCATCAAGCCTAGCGAATTCTATACTGAGAAAAGAATAATTTAAGGGAAGCAGCTTCTATGAAACTCCTCAAGAACTCTCTTTTGTAGAATTTTGAACATAAACAAAACACCACAAGAGAATGATTTTTGTAGCGTGATGAGTGTATATTGTCTAACGGCAAAAATTACTCAACCTTTTATGGGTATTTGACTGTCATAAACTGTGATGCCCATATTTCTAGTTGTTTGACCGAAACACATCTTACTTCTGCGGTGCCGACAACACTTGCACGTGGAAAATGGCCATGGAGCGCCCAGTTTTAATCTGTCTCTTTACCATTTTTTACAGGCGAGTGTTCTTGGTAACACAAAACACATACTCATTATTGAATATCGACCAACACAGTGATAGCAAAAATTATAAACAAAAATTTTCCGGTGGTTGTTAGTCACATACTCTTTGGTTAATGAAGGAGAGCAAGCCATTCCAGATCGGATTGTCTATGAGAGTAGACATTAGCAATAGTGAAATCAAAACCTTTTACAACACGATTTATTTTGGAAAGTGAACTCATGCCTCGAATTCAGTTTATCGCCAATGGCACCCCATTTCGCAACAATATAATGCATTATTCAAGCACTTTGACGATTGTTTGATGGCATAGAAACGAGCAGCAACAACTTTCAAGAATACTTGAGAAGATTGCGAAATTCCGAACTGTCCCGGAATAGATGACTAATGAATGCGCACAAAACATATGAAGTGTTCGAAATCTGCAGAAATTGTAGGCACTTGACACGGACACATAATTCGATTAGAGCGCAAAATGTGCAAGAAATTCAGTGAGTTCCGCAAAGACACTGCAGTTCCGCTCAGAAGCGGATGATGAGAGAAGTGCAGTCGGAACGAGGCCTCTCTCGAGTTATGTAACGAGGAGGAAAAAAGAAAACGAGCGAGGAGAAAGAAAGAAAACGAAGTTTTACGAGAAAGAAAAATAGCGAGAGGCTAGCACTAAAAAGCAGAAATTCGCTACCTTTTCAACCGTTTCGTAACTTCTTTGATACGGTCTTTGTTCACTGACACCAAATACGCTTCAGTCACGGTTGGTTCGCTTGGCGTTGGCACTGTAAATAAGTTTGATCTCGAAGAGTGAATAGAAGTGGGTCTAAAAATTAAATAGGATAAAAACTAGAGAGAAATTAGAACGACACAGTCGTTAACTTAAGCCCTCGCCCGACTGAGAATCGTAAAAATCTTAATGCAAGGACGAACGCCATTTGCTTTGCATTAAGCTTTTTGGTCTTTCTTCCATTCTCTATGTCCATTTTACAAAGTATGTTTCCAGTCCAAGAACAGAAAAAAAATGAAAACCTACAATCTGTTTTGTCCATGGATTTTCGACGGACTTTCAGTTGTATTATCCTTGACCGAATGCACTGGAAAAAAGCGGTATGAGAGGTCCACATAGAAGCATGTCACTATGCTATTTTCATTTGACTTTTGCCCTATTAAATTTCAGAATTCAATCATTACAAGGAAAACAAATATCAAAGTTTCACAATAATTCACAATAATTTGAAGGGCAAAATTCAAATAATTCAGTAAAATTTTTACTTACAAACAAGGTATAAGATTATCAAATTAGAAACGAACTAAACAGGATTTTCGTCATTTGAATCGTAGAGTATTTAGGTTACAAATTTGCTACCTGTCTGTTAGATTGTGATAGTTGAATTGATTTTAATTCTGAGTAACAGTGGCGTACCGAGGGGGGGGGGACGGGGGGGCGCGCGCCCCCCCCCCGAGAACGGGTCGCGAAATTTTTGAAAGTTACTTACATGCGTTATAAAAATGTGCAAATGACTTGTTTATTTTTGTAAACAATTAAAATAATTTTCAAAATTTTTTAAAAATTCAGATTAGCCTTATAAAAAAATTTTTTTCGGGGGCGTGGCTGACGCCACGCCCCCTTTTTCCAGATTTTAGGGGTTGGGGGCCCGCAGAATTGTTGAGAAGCCCCCCTAAAATTTTTTCGGAGTGCGTGGCTAACGCCACGCACCTTCATTTGAAAATTTTTTTTGCCGCGCCCCCCCCCCCCCGAGCCGAAATCCTGGGTACGCCACTGCTGCGTAACTAATGATTACGGAAAGGATTCTAAATAGTAACTTATACTTACAGAAAGGATTCTACCTATAAGAACACAGAACTTTTGGTAGGCTGGTTTTTACAATTTTAGTAAAGGTCTTTCTCAAGTTTTATTTAGATACCTATTCTAGCTTGAATTTTCTATACATGTAGGAAGAATCCTACCTCTTGGATGTATTTAACAACTTCCTCATGGGATTTTCCTTCAATCTCGACATCATTTACAGCAAGTATTTCATCTCCGACCGTGAGACCAGCTCGTTCGGCAGCTGTGCCTGGAGTGGGAATTTCTTACTTTTTTATGAAAAAAGCACCTCCGACTTAGTTTGGAGGACTAAGAAAAATAATTATAATATTTTCATATATTTATTTGCACATGCCCTTTCTTTGTATGCTTTTTTGCCAAACACTCTCTTGCTCAAACAGCTTACGCATGGCCACCATCATTATAGCTCTCTAGAGACTAGTGACTAGCTTAGCAGATGCTGATGGACGTTATTCTCCAAAAATAATACCCTCCGGAACAGCAGAAATTGCTCACCATAAACTCGAACCCCATTTGCTACGTCAGCTACGGAAATGACGAATCCGTTTAGGGTAGTGTCTCGGTGCTCTCTATGAGAACTCAAACGTTTAAGTGAACATCGCTTTAGTTCACTGAGAGCTAGGGGTATTGAGACAGATTTGGACATCTACCTGAAGCAGCTCCAGTCAAGGAAAATAGCGAATTGGACGAAGGATGAATTCGAACGCAAGCGAAGCAATGACAGAGTTTCTGATTGTGAAGCTTAGAAAGGAGAAGAAGGAGACAAAATGTGACAATTCTTCGGTGGTCCAGAGCTCCCCAGTGACTTCGTGTCACATCAAAACCTAGGACAATTGAGAAAAAAGAGTGACTTCCCACTTAAATGCTACTTTTTAAGCGATTCGAGTGATATGACAGTTTTTTACGAAAACAATGCGACCTCTTGTGAGACATGACAAATGCGAGGTCTTCAAAATCTTTTGATGGGGATGCTTTTTCATTTAATACCACAGAACTCTATAGGTAAATACGGCTACAGGTAAATGAATAATCAACCAAAAGCTTCAACTCTTAACTTCAAAATTACCTTCTGTAAAATTATAAGAACATATGCACCCAAAAATCACCTCAAAGGACAATTTCCAATGATACGTATATGAAAAGATTAATATGCACGAACCGCTCGCAAAGAACCCAAGAAGAAAAGGATGTAGAGTGCTGTGAAGTGCTGTAAAGGAGATGAAAACCGAAAAAAATAATACAGAGAAGACTTGGTATAAGTCAATCAACACTCTTAGAAAAGGTTCTTCAAAAGCTTTGGAAAGATTTTTTAGAAAGCCGAAAACCTCAGTAAAGCACTAACACAAAAAACAGGAAAAGTTTCAACTGACAACGCAAACCTTACATAGGAAGCTATGGACAAACATTGGTATTATAGTAATGGATGGGGTACAAGAGGAGTTAGATTAAATCAGATCGAAGTCAGGTGTGAGAATGTAAAAAAATAGATTGCAAAAAACCTTCTGTTTGTACAGGCCTGGTCTCACAGTGAACAAATAGCATAGTAAAGCCTACAAAAAGGAAAGACATCGAAGTTATACCAAGATAAACGATGTCTTCGCAATGGTGCATTTAGTGAGATACTAAAATGTGAACGAGCCTCAGCCGCCACGTTTTTCTGTGGTAGTCAGAGCACCCACACTCATACATATATCAGAAGAAACAAATAAAACTAGCCTTTTACCCGCAGGACCAACTGAGAAAGGTAATCGCGGAAAAATGGTAAAAATTTGTATATGAAAGCTGGTACTCGTAAACATAAAAGCACTTTGAGATCAAATGAAGTAGCAACTTCGTTCCCAATGACTTCAGCGGATTTGCGTCACCGAAATGGCATAGAACAAAAGATTCAGTCACACGGTCATGAATTATAGGCAAATTGGAAATTCAAACTCATTTAAGATTCAATTTAGATCCTTTATAGTGTCTTTATAGTCATCACTATAGTCAGTTAAAATTTAATGGTCTGCTAGGCCAGCAGTCTTCTGTAACTGTTCGGTAGCTCTAGTACATGCCTGAATGATTCGTTCGAATTGAATAGATTTTTCAGGAAATTTTGTTGCATTGTTTTGTGGTAGCTTGTCAGCACGTCGAATAACTGCAAAAGACTTCAATTTTGTATTTCTTTCGGTCTAGTCACGAGAAAATATTGAAAATGAGATCTATACGATTTTCTGCATATTATACATGCAAATTTTTTTGGTAACAGCATTTCTAGGCCTCACAAAAACACATGGTCAATAATATATCTGAGGAACATCAGCATGATCACTGTATAAAGCTTAGCATGATCAGCTCCTGGTTTCAATTTTTTGCAGGTAAGAGCCACTAATTTGGCATGAAAGTTCAGAAGTAAAGGGTACCCAATGAAATGATCTCCCAGCAGAACGCTGAGTAAAAAGCGAGAAACCGCATCAATTTTGATGGCGAAGTTCATAGCATCTCTAGCACTTTTGCTTCACACACCATTAACTTTATCTCTTTGGCTGACGCATTACAGCACTCTGCGAAAAGTTTTTTTTTTCTGAGGAAAGTCATAATTATCCAGGAGGTCTACCACCCGGAAGCTTTGCATCATTAGGACACGTCATGTCATAGCACATGCGAGTCAATGCTTCCAATGTTCGGTAGGGTACCATAAGGTAAAGGTACATGCATGACTGCCGGTTGCTCGTCCATCCATTACTTAGTTTCTGCACATAAGGTAAAAATATGCCTCCCAACAAAACTACAATTGCTTAATACATGATTGAAAGCTAAAGAAAATATTTCAGCTACGGGCTGTTTGTATAGTCATACCATAGGTGTATAGTCTATTGCCCTTGCTCAACACATGTGAAGTTTGGAATAAAAGATATACTTCAAAAAAGGAAAATAGCATACAAGTGTAACTCAATCTTATGCAATAGTGAAATGAGATTTCACAGAAGGCCATGATGTCTTTCATCTGCGTCTTCAAAAGTTTCAATAACTACTCGCGAAGCACAACTTTGGCATTCGAGTTCCATTATCGGTGTGATATGAACGATTAGAACATATTGGAATGAGTACTACTTCGATTTTATATGCTCGTTAAAAGCTCACCTATCTTCCGGTAACATTCTGAAGCTGGCCTCAACTTACAAGGGAAGCTTGTTTCAAAGTGGCCTTTCTAAATGGGATGTATACCGTACTGAAGGGCATAAAACGCTGATTATAAAATTGCCTTCCTTATCTGCAGGATGTTTATGGACGAGGAATTGTGGGCGTTTTTTGGAGAGAAAAATTATATGTGGATTTTGGATGAATGAGTTGCTTAAATCTTACTAGCTTGAAGAGCTAGAAAAAAGTATTACGGCTACTCTTGTCCTACTTTGCTCCAATAAGCGCTCATAACTTCTTGTCCACAAACATTCTGCAGATAAGAAAGGCAGATTTGAAATCAGCATTTTATGCCCTTTAGTATAGCATACATCCCATCTATAAAGGCCATTTAAACTAAACGTGCTTCCCTTGTCCTTCCCTTGCACGACTGTACGGGATTTGAGGTTGTTTTTGATGTTTTGGTTGCTCAAGTTTTGTCATTTCAAAACCTGACAAATTGACAGATTTACAGCATAAGCGAATCATTTGCTTTTCATTACGGTAGGAACTCTGAAGAGAGTTTTGGGCCACTAAGAGTCATATTTTTTTCAAAAGTGCGAACAAGCTAGAAACTCTTGTAACAGTCTAAAGGAGTCGCTGACTCTAGTTCTGCAATTTGCACTTCATCATAATATTTCTTTGATAGGTTAGGTGCGAGATATATCGTAAAACTTTTTTTACACTGTTCCTCAAAACGATTACATCACCAAAGCTTAGAAGACTAGATCAAAGTTGTTGCGAGAATACTGATACACATCTTTTCAGAATTCCAAGAATTTTTTTTTTATCGAACGTCTTTAACATACGTAGTGGCGTTCTATGCTGGAAGTTTTTAGCATAATCGTGGTAAAAAAATCTATCGATAAAGAGATTCTGTAATTCGATTTATACTACAAATTTAAATGAAGCCAACTCTAAGAAGGGGTGACTATAGATCGATAAATTGATACTAATGATCAAATATGTAATGTCCACATTTTTCTGGGACACCCCATATACAAAACCACTACAAAATGTGCAAAATTCCAGGGAATCTCGCGGACTTCCGCGAAATTCCTGGAATTTCGCTACATTCACGGAAATTTTGCACATTCTGTGAGCGGTATTTTATTGAAGGGAATAACAGTGCTTATGTCGCGGACAAATAGAAAAGGTCATTGGGGCAATAATGCTACAAGCACAAAAATTGTTTCATTTAGTTTAAATTATTGACTTTACGTGGTTTTTTAGATAGCCGTTTTGAAAAAGCATGGCTTTGCAAGAGTGATGATGCAATATGTAGGAGTTTTCGTGTTTTTTAGGAAAGGTTCTTGACTTAGGGACGTCGAGAGACTCGACTGTAACAAAAATGTTGCAATATGTAACACTCATAGGTTAAAGCAGCAAATTTCGCTAATACTTTTCTGGTTCATCGATGGATACCCAAGTTCAAAATTTTTTTTTCGACACTTTTATTACCTCATCTCAGCAAGGCAAAAGAACAAATTTGAGTAGATCAAACTTCTACCGGGCCAGTGGAACCTATACAAGGCGAATGACTCCTCTATCTCGACTTGTTCTCGAGAAAAGTTATGGCGAATCACCAAAAACCAGAAATAAGGCATAACAAAATTACAATGTAGAAAAAAAGTAAAATAAGAAAAATCGCACAAACAGTGCAGCGCACTCGTGTTACAGATATAGTGCAAAGTTGTAGAATTACGCTTGGAACGAACAAAGTGAATGTAAGATAACACTGATTGTCTTCGATTAGTAAGAAATTTCAGGGTACTCCTCTCGCACTTGCATCAAACTTGTTTGCTGACATTCTTCTTGCTTTGAAGTCGCTCGTATGTTCAAGTAACTGTTCTTGCTAATGGAGCAATTCATTTGGATCAGAAGTTCAAGAGAGATGTAACATCTTGATTATCGATACAAAAAAGCTATTCTCAGCACAAAGAACTACCAGAGTCAAAATCATTTACATTAGTAAAACTGGTTTTGCTCTAAGGAAGTACCTAGCTTACAGCGTCGTTAATAACTATACTTAAACTCTGAAACAGGACAAAAACCTGGATCGTGAATCTTGCGTAACTTTGCTGTAAATTGCACTAAATTCGCTGTGATCTGTACTAGCTTTGTTGATTCCATTTTTGCCATCTCTTCATGCTTTTGCTCTCATTTTATCATAAGGAAGGGCGACAAGACTGAGGCAGATTCACTATCAAATTTGTACTCATAACTAACTCATTGTCAGATAATCCTTCCATGGAGGATGGTAATGAATGCAAAAAATCAGGTGCTTCTAGGTAAAATTGATTTATGACCTCTTTTACAAAGTAAAAGAAGAATGACACATAGAAAATGCACTCTTAGAGAACCAAGGCGACATACAATCAAGTCAGACTAAGCCTTGTGTTATCTAGTAATACGACTTTTTTGAAAAAGATTTGCTCGTGGAGAAAGATTTTATGTGGTGACGGAGCAGCTGTTTCTTGAGCTTTGACAGG